CATTGAAGCAAGTCAATTCATGGAATATCTCTTCCATCAATAATGATGTGTATGTTTGCCTGTTTGCACAGATATGTCCTGTTTCCAAGGTCTTTTCTTATGCCCAGAAGCATTTTGTTTGCTGGTTCATAACTTCTGCATATACCATATAAGCCCCCCTGGCCATGAGGTCAGTGATCGTAGCTTTTCAGTTTTTCTTTATAAATTTTCTATGACAAGCATTTTGAATATCTTCAACTGCATCCTATCTTATATGGTACATCCTTAAGAGCTTTTGCAGTTAGGAGCTGCTGCAATGTCTTATGATGATCCGGTGTTGTCTGTTGATGACTTAGCTGATCAGGTTGCTGAGGTTTTTGATTATTTTGGGTAATCTTTTTCGTTTATTTGGTTCCTATTGTGGATTTGTGGGTAACTGTAGTTTTGGTATCTAAGAACTTTCTAATAAAGTCTCACCCCTTGATCAATCCCACCCCAGTGAACAAGATTGTCAGACTTTTATAATTGCAAGACATAAAATGCCTAATGAGGTTGTTTAAGCACCTACAGTAAACCGGTAAAGACGAACAGTAAACCAAAAGATAACTCTAGAAACATCAATAAATCTCACTCGCAGATCTTGACCCCTGTTATTTTGAAATATATAGGTCTTCATTTTAGTTAGTTTATTTCACTTCATTAAGAAATTCATTACAGGACCTCCCTGTTTAAAAAATAACCACAGTAACAATGATTCACAATTACTTTTTCTCTTATAATTGTGGCTCCTCATTTGCCATGGAAATACATTCACCAGAACCCACACATCAAACTTCTGTGGATCCTCTATACTTCCTTATAACTCTTTCCATCTCCTTCTCATGTCTTCACAAAATCAAGAAAGAAAAAGCATATTCATAATAAAGTAGGAATAACAAAAGCAAGGCATGAGTTGTTCCACATACCTAGATAATACAAATAATAATGGCGTGTGTACATACAAGCATCAAAAAAGAGCAATAGAAATAAGAACACAATTACATCAATTCACACTCCATAATCCTTGCATATAAGAGGTAGGATAAAGAACTATTAAAGACATAAAACACACACTGGAGAGCATTTTTTCTTTATGCAGAGAGATAAGCATATCCATGTCTACGACAAATTTTGCAGCAATAATACGGCAGTAGAAAAGGGAAATATGATATGTTACTCTTATGGAATACTTTGACGATTTAATTTCTTATCTGTTGATAGAATCTCAGTTACAATCTGACATTTCATATTTCTAAGTTACAAGAATATTTGGTTGCTTCTCAAGTGTGCAGGAAGTGGAAGACGACGATTGTTCAAATATGGGGGACTGAACAGAATTACCTGGAAGGTTGAAGATTGAAGAAGACGACGATGGAGGCAGAACCCTAAACAGAATTGGGAATCGTCGTCTTGGGCAGATTGTTGAAGATTGAAGGTTGAAGATTGAAGACTATGGATTGAAGGGTGAGAGCGAGAGCGGTGAAATGAAGGTTAATATATGGATGATTCGAGTAGAGAGAGCGATGAATCGTCATCTTGGAACTGGATTGGATAAAGCATCAGCTCTGGAAGCTGATACGCCGGATTCCCACCGAATTCCAAGTAGTCTTCTCTTTCTGTGGGGAGCGAAATTGCCTGAATCGTCGTCTTGGGCAAAGGGGGTCTGCAGGGATGTAGTATAGATTCGAGTACTTTGTGCTTGTACTTTTTCAGGTTTTAAAAACCAGCTTTAAAAACAAGTACTTTGGGCTTTAGAGTTTGTACTTTTTTAAGACTTTAAGACATTTAACAAATTTGCTTAATAAGGTAGTATAGATAAAAGTATTAAATATATAATTAGTCATCCATGGTTAGTCCCTGTTTAAAAAATAACCACAGTAACAATGGATTCACAATTACTTTTTCTCTTATAATTGTGGCTCCTCATTTGCCATGGAAATACAATCACCAAAACCCACACATCAAACTTCTATGTACTCCTGTATACTTCCTTATAACTCTTTCCATCTCCTTCTCATGTCTTCACAAGATCAGGAAAGAAAAAGCATATTCATAATAAAGTAGGAATAACAAAAGCAAGGCATGAGTTGTTCCTCATACCTAGATAATACAAATAATAATGGCGTGTGTACATACAAGCATCAAAAAAGAGCAATAAAAATAAGAAGACAATTACATCAATTCACACTCCATAATCCTTGCATATAAGAGGTAGGATAAAGAACTATTAAAGACATAAAACACACATTGGAGAGCATTTCTATAATAAAATAACTGAAGTACTTAACCCCAAAAGCTGTTTTTAGGTGGTGACAACATTTCTGTCACAAAAGGGGTAGTCTCAAGAGTTGAACCTACACAATATGTACATGAAGCCACTCAGCTCTTGGCAATACAGATTGATGCAGCCATAAATCCAGGAAACAGTGGAGGACCAGCAACCATTGATGAGAGTTTCTCATAAGAACAGAACCAACATACGTTCTTTGATTTTTTGAAGATTTCTAAGTGGAACTTTAAAATGCTAATAAATTGAATACTAAAAATCTGAACTTATTATAGTACACCTTGTACTAACAACTTTTAATGCCAAGAGGTACACGGGCATTAGCTGGATTATGTAAATGGCTTAGAGGCACATGGATATAAGCTGGATCATAAAAGGTTGATGTTTTTACATCTCAGTTTTTTTGGGTCTCAACCAACCTTCCTTACAGTCCACAAAAGCACCCTTCTAAAAACATATTACATGTCTAAGAAACATAAAAGTAATCTGTTGGTGAAAAAACCAAAAGATTCAAGTAGAACAAACCCATTGTAACAAGATACTTATCAAATAATTTCAGCATCATTCATAGTCCTAAGGATCAAGATGTTTTCAAATGCAAAAATATCAAGAATCAAACAGCAATCTAGGGAACATCTCAACAGAACAAAATATATGTACAAAGTACGCTTGCCATGCTAGGTTAAATCAGGATCCTTTTAAGATAATATGAATCATAAAATAAAAACAGAAATAAGCAAGCAACCATACACACCTTGGCAACCATACACATATAGGGATTGTTGTTGGCCGTAGTGGTAGAAATATTACGGAAATTAGTCAGGTAAAAATACGCTTCTTATGCGTTTGACAGGACTCTGTGAAGCACATAACTCAAATACATATCTATTAAAAAAAATCTATTACTGCTACAACAGGTAGTATAGAAGTAATTACCTAGAAGCTTGATTGAAGCTTGAAGGAAGATGACAATGGAAGCGATGGATTGATTAGGATTATATGCTCAGACCTACAAAACGATTCGAGAACACAGAATGCATTACTAATAACCCAATCATACAGCATATTGCACGCAACTCCAAAAAAGAGTCCAAGACCTAAAAACTAAGGACAAAAAAGAAGAAAAGGGAAATATGATATGTTTTTGAAATATATAGGTCTTCATTTTAAACAGGGAGAGTATATATTTAACACTAAAGAGAGAAAACCAATTGTGATAAATTCTTGCCAATGGAGTACAATCTAAACACAAATTGCGGGATCAAGATTTTCTCAATATTAAGAAAAACCTACAACAGTATTGTGCCTACATTTCCAGGACAGTTTAAAAGAGGGACAAAAATCTAAGGACAAAAAAGAACCAACAATAAGGGTGCTTTAATCTTGATGCCTTTGGAACTCTAGTGAGCCATGGCTTGATCTCAAGTGCAGAAACATAATATACTAAAAATTACAGTAGTGAATGATGAAACCCAACAAGTATGTACAATCTGGCTGAATCAAGTAACAACTGAGGAAAAACAATATTAACAACATGCTGTTTTATAATAGATTAATAGTACCATAGATTCACATTAGTTACATAGATGGAGTCTTATTTCCATTTTTAAGAGGGAAAAGAGAGCTGTGAGCCAGACTTGCCAAATAGCTTTCATTTTTTTTCTTTGTTCCCCTTTGTGCCTGTTTTTGAAAATTTTAAAGCAGGGTCACAGGCACAATAGATTAAGTAACATAAACTTTAGAGTTTTAGGTATAAACAAAAGTCAAACACAGCTCTTTGGTTTAGTGTTGGCCCAAAATTCAAAATTACCAAATGTGGCCTCTCAAATGGTTCAAAAAATGTATCAATCATCCAGATGTAGAAGATAAATTTAATGATAAGACCCTCTTCTATTCCTTCATAAAATGGAGGGGTACTATGCTTGTATAAG